ACAGTTATCTGGCATCTAAATGGTCAGAACATGCAACAGGAGCCACAGGAAATAAAGATCAAATGCAAACAATATGTTTCAGTCATGGCATTAAAGGGCCCCTGTAGATTTGCCCTATTTATTTTACTTTCAAGGTGGGGTAGGTAATTTCGGAGAAACCGGCTCGAGTGCGCTAGAATTTGAAAATACACATCTGGAAAAAATCTGCCACTTCCTCACAGAGCCCCTCCTCCAACACACACGAACGCGCACATGACCAATGAGGGCACGAGATAAATTTGTGCACAGATGGAAGGCTGACAGGCAGGTAGGCCATCCAGTTATTCTAGCCGGGCTGGCTCAGATGATTGGTCGTGCTTTTTACAGCGCCACGGCTTCCACAGATGATATTTTTGTATGGATTTTTTGTCAAAGCACTTAAGATATTCATTGCTATCGGGATGTTAAGAGCATTCCATGGAATATAACAAAAAGTGTATCTCGAGCCGGTTTCTCAAACTACCCACCTTTAAGTTATACTCATCCATTTTCAAATGTGGCTTATAGAAGCTCTGTTATTTGGTATCGAGAATCGAAGAGTTTCCAAACCTGTAAAATCAGGGGCTAAACTGATGTTTTTCTGAACCAGACGAGATGGAGCTCCAGGAGTCTGTTACGATGGAATAAATCATTCTGTTTGTGAATAGGAGCCACAGAAGAGGAGACTGTTCAGTGTCTCTGTAAAGTTTACAATCCTGCCGTTGAGCCGGCGGGCCTCATGGTACTGCTGTTATGAGGAGGATTAGTTCAGCTACCAGACTGAAGTCTGTTTCTATCTGCACTCACTCACTAATGGACCATCCCTGGGAGCCAACCAGTGATGTTTATGTAATTGAAATACTTTGACAAAACATTCACAAGAGAAATAGTTGAATGTTCTGTTCTTTAATGAGCAGTGTATTAAATTCTCACTGTTCATCCTGTGACAGTAATGTTGGTGTTCCCATGATCACCACTACGTGGCGCACTGAGTCATGAACCTGTCCATTCACTGCACAGCTCACTGTATATCTGCAGCCCTGAAACCTGAGGGAGGACAGTTTTAAATCTCTGTGAAACAGATGTAAGGCCAATCAAAATGCTTCAAAAATGATTAAGAACAAAGCTAAAAGTAATTAAAGCAAATGTACTTTTGTTGTCATTTATTGAAGATTGTCATGTAAACAAAATGTCCTTGCCAGTTAAAGAAAAATGTATGTCTAAAACATAAATAGAAAATAAAATCTTGAGGATGGACAGATAGTTGGGAGGGGACTGCATTTAAAAACAAAATTAAAATCATGTTATAAAAGGAGTTCATACATGTGCATGTGCCAATGATCTATTGTTAAAGTATTTAATGTACACACATGTGTTCATTAGTCCATGGTCTTTTGTAGTTTTTTTCTATTTCTTCCTTCCCACCATGTATTTTCCTTTCACTTCTTTTTGTTTGTTTACTTTGGAATCTTTATTTCTCTTGTTATCATGAATAATACACTTGGAAGCAGCAGGACACTTGAAATGGTATTGGACATATAACAAGTAAATATTGAACCTTAGGGCATGTCTGATTTCAATACTTTATACTGTAAAACATTTCTACACACGTTAGCTAAAGCGAAACAGATTGGGTCCTGACTGCTAAAGAATAATGGAGTTTACCGGTGAAAGCAGCCTGCTGTGCAGCATGTTGATGAACTGATCTGGGATCTGTCTGCCGGCCTGGGAAGCACGGATACCCCCCTGCCTGGAGGAGGGATGTTGCTTTTATAAACGAAACACCCGTCATTCAAAACCGAAGCCAATGAGACTGCATGCAACCGTGAAACTGTACACTGCAAGAAATATCGGCTCTACAATAAATCCCATGTGAAAAAAATCAATGAATGAAACAGAATGGTGAAATTGTACTGACTTTGATATAAAAGAAAAGTATAAGGGCCATGGGCACACGTTTAAAAACATAGAGGAAGATTTATTTTATCTTTTTCTAGAATTTAGTCAACATTTTCACTATATGTCAAAAAATTGTGGTAAAATACAATTTCAGGAAAAAGTCGACATTTTGAGAATTAAGTTGAAATGGTGAGAAGAAAGTCAACATGTGCAAATTAAGGTCGACTTTTAAGCATTAGTGACAGGTTTATAAGAAGGAAAAAAACTGAGGGAAAGTGTTTTTCTTTACATTAAGATAACTTTGAGGAAGAAGTAAAAATATAAGTTAAGTTAAAGTTAAAATATTGAGAATGTAGTCAAAATGTTTAGAAATAAGTCAACTAACTTGTCAAAATAAGTTTGAACTTTCAGTTTAAGTGCCTAAGGAGCCCTGGAAGGTTCATAGATAGAACAATCAATAAAACGAGGCCACGTTTTATTAATTTGTGCGCACGAGATGTAATTCGTGGCCTCAATTTAAATAAAACGAGGCCACGCTTTATTAATTTGTGTGCACGATATACTTTCTCGTTCGCACAAGATACTTCCTTATGGTTAGACACATCGAACTGCCTGATTATTACGCCATATTATTAGTTTTATGAAGAAGATGTCCGGTCGCCAGGGCGTGTGTGTGTGTGTGTTTGTGTGTGTGTGTGTGCGTGTGTGTGTGTGTGTGTGTGTGTGGGGGGGCATTTGTTTTCAGAAGATATTATGATAGTGGTGTTCGTTCCGGTGCACTCCGACAGCATTTAGCACTAGCCTACATCGAGATTAAGATTAAACTAACTTCTTTCACTTGGGAATACACAAATGGAGTTAGCCAGATGTGTGTAAATTACTGTTCACGGTAATTTGAAAACAAATGCCGGTGTCGTCGGACACGCATACACCGAACACACACATACACCGAACACACACACACACACACACACACACACACACACACACACACACACACACACACACACACACACACCATCACACACACACACACACACACACACACACACACACACACACACACACACACACACACACACACACACACACACACACAGAGCTGAGCACAAACACACACACATCATGTAACATTTCACGTTTCCATAGCAACAACAACTTCCTGTCAACAGCGTAAACTAAAATAAAACAGGAAGTTAACCTAAATTACATTTAATACATATACAACTGCAACGAAAGTAACAAAAACAATGTCATATCCTTTTCAGTTTCACAGAACACAAATTGGGTTATTTACACATCATGCACCCTGGTGACCGGACATCTCCTTCATAAAACGAGTAATAGGGGGAATAATCGGGCAGTTCAATGTGTGTAGAGGTGTGTGTGTGTGTGTGTGTGTGTGTGTGTGTGTGTGTGTGTGTGTGTGTGTGTGTGTGTGTGTGTGTGTGGTGTGTGTGTGTGTGTGTGTGTGTGTGTGTGTGTGTGTGGCTAAAACGTAGCAGCCTCGATCTCTATTCAGCTGTTCTAATGAAGGTATACCAAAATAAAGAGAGCAGATACTGTGAGAGTCACGGACATGAATTCTTAGATCAAGGCAGACTGGTTCACAGACTCTCCTGTTTGGTTGATCCGGTGCTTAAAGAGCCCATGACATGCTTTTCCGGTTATTACCCGTCCCCTTGTGTGTTATGAAGGTTTCTATGCATGTAAACGGTCTGCAGAGTCAAAAACCCTCAAAGTACACCCTGTAGCGATTAAAACTCTAACACAGAAAAGACCTGTCTATGCTGCCCCAGAACGCCTTGTTGGGGATTTCTCATTTTCTATTGTTTGCTTCCTGGGTTCTGTGACGTGTGAACACCCAAATCAACAACAAATGACCGGATTGGCCCAAATGGACCAATCCGGGGAGCACCTCACACACCAGGATCCCTTGGCTAACTAACAGGGAGTCCCCATTGACTTAGAGCTCCCTGAACGCTGGTAATAGACAAGTTGGGATCGCAGAGAAACGCTCTCCGCAGACCCATTCTCACAGCGTTATCAACCTTTTTCTTACTCAATATCAAGCCACACTTATTGTTTTTACTTCGGCTGTGAGTGTTTGTGTGTGCTCAGGATGAGTTTCGCTTGTTCTCGCTGTATCGCCGACCCGGAAACCCGTCCGCTCCTCGCAGCAACGAGCCTCGCAATGAGCCTCGCAACGTCCCGACCAATCAGAGCACATTGGGCTCACAGGGAGGGGGGGCAGGAGCTCCAACAAGCCGTTTAGGACAGAGAGTGAATACCTGGTGAATACACATACTATACAGAGATGCTGTTTGAGAAACCAATGTGATTTTGGAAAATTGCACAATTTAAATCTATTCCAGTAGACCTCAACAATGGAAATATGATCAGTAGAAATGGCCATGACATGAGACCTTTAAACAAATAGCTCTACACCTCTGGCTAAAATGAAGTCCGAGTTTGAAATATATCTCAAATAATGTATGCACTACCATTTCCACATAAACATAACAGTCTGCAATAAAACGGTTGTCTCCTGTGCGAAAGTATCTTGTGCGAACGAGAAAGTACATCGTGCGCACAAATTAATAAAGAGTGGCCTCGTTGTATGTATTGTTCTCTCTATGAACCCTCCAGGGCTCCGTAAGTGCCAGATAAGACAAATAAAATCAAAGGATAATTTTTCTAGAAATAAATTAAAACACCATTTCAAGAATAAAAAAAGTTGAAATGTCGAAAAAGTAAAGACTATATTTAAAGTTAAAATGAATTATTCTCTACATTTAGAATGTATTACAAAATGCAAAATAAACAAATTAATTAATGAAAAGTTACTGAGATAAAACACCAGCATGGAAAAAAGCGAACATTTTTTACAGTGTGCCCCGGCTGGCACAGTAGGAGAGAGAGAGAGAGAGAGAGAGAGAGAGAGAGAGAGAGAGAGAGAGAGAGAGAGAGAGAGAGAGAGAGAGAGAGAGATAGAGAGAGAGATAGAGAGAGATAGAGAGAGAGAGAGAGAGAGAGAGATAGAGAGAGAGAGAGAGAGAGAGAGAGAGAGAGAGAGAGATCGGAGGGGCGAGAGAAGGGGGTGTTGGTCTTGGAGAGCATGGTCGCAGGAGAGCTGCAGACTTGCCTCGGTGTCTCCTCATTGATAACAGCTTCTCGGGAGCTCTCGGTGATGTTGCGGAGCCTCTCGTCAGGGGACATCTGACCCGGAGATTGTGTGCGTGTACACGGGGAGGTTTGATCCACTGTGCGCGGTGCTGGTCGTTCGGCAGGACAGACAGAGGCACCGGGACAGCTGCGGGATCAGCCGGAGCTCGAGCTGCTGGTTCGAGGCTTCTTCTTTCGGGATTCTCACAGAACAGGAGCAGAGATCGTGATCTGGAAGCGCGACGGCACAACGACTGCTTTTCTGCTCTCTTGTGGAACATTTATTCTGTGGCTTTTATATTTTTTCCACTGCGTAGCCTACCTCCAGTCTTGGAAATTGATAGCGACTTGGAGAAACTGTTTTCATGGAGTTGAGTTTACGCAGATCTATACTGTGGATGTCCAGCCTTTATCCAGAACTGTCTCTCATTCAAGCGACTAAAGAGTGATCATATGGTGCAAAGTCAATGATCTGACTGTCAAAACGCAAGCTGTTTTTAAAATAACCGAAAGATACATACAAGTATTACTAAAACCAACAAGGAAGCAACATTTGTGCGGGAATAAGAACGTGGACTCTCATCACAACATTTCACCCCCACATCCATCCCAGTCTTTAACCCTGAATCACTTTGGCTTCGCCGGAGTTCCAGAGCAGATATGCCGCAGGTGGAAATGATCCTCTTCCTCCTCACCATCATAGTGATGTGTGTGGACGGCCAGGACCCGGCGTCCAAGGTGATGACCGACCGATACGCCGTCTTCTGGAACCGAACCAACCCCAGGTAAGCACCACGCTCCCCGGTTAAAGCTGCACTATAACCGGTTACAGTCGTTCAATAGTTGAGTGACTGTACACACAGTGTGTACACTCTGATCTACACACGATGCAAGAAACGCACTTATTAATCCAAACCAATCCTCACTGAATATATGTACAATTTAAAAACAAATATTAGTATATTAGACTAATGTACAACCATGCATATCAAGATGTAACATTAGCTTTATATTACAACCTCCATGAACTACTCTTCGGCAGACATAATGTTGACAATTAAGCTTTCTTAATATTTCCTTTTGACTTTAACCTGTATTTGTGGTCTTCGCCGATGGATTATTGTGATTATTTGATAGACCCCCACATCTGAATCATCTTTGAAATACACTGTGAGAACCGAGCAGCATAAATCACACCTGACAGAGGAACGAGCCGTTTCCACACAGGCTGTCCGCTATTACGCACCATTACGCACTATTACGCGTTTGTGTACAGTGTTTGCTGCACGTTCCGGTTGCAAATTAGATATATCAGGAGCTGGCAGAGATGCATTCGGCTGAGCTGCGCTGGAATAACGCTGAGTCGCTTCCAGTCTGCTGCCATCGATTATAATTGACAGTTGTTTTTGTGCCAAATGAAGATCCATCCTATGTGACAGAGTTCATTACACTATCATGCTGCTTTGCTTATAAAGTGAGCAGAAAGTGTATTTTGTTGTGTTAGGTGACTTAAAAAACGAACGGTGGCCTCCTGGTTTTACTTTCTAAACGTTTTTAAGACCAGGTATTTCTAGTTTAAATAGCCTACTAAACTTCCCCTGAGGGCGGCTCCCCGTGTGACTCAGTGCCTCTATCTTGGCACTTGAGCACATAGTGATATAATGAGTGTGTCACTTAGTTTCATTAGGAATACATTCACTGCACGCTGACATAAGCTGTCTTCAGTTTCGGCATGAGTCAAAATGTAAATGTACTGTAACATTTGCTCCGGGACGAGAAACTGGTCTGCTGAACTGACTGGTGTTGCTGATACAAATGCAAATGCTGTGGTGGTGACTTCAAAGGCTGCTGGAGTTCCTGCTCCGCCAAAAGACAGATATCTGAGTGTGATAACAGCTTTCTGTCCCGCTCGCAGGCTTGTAGGCATGTGGAAAAAGTACTCACATCTTGTACTTAAGTAAACGTAGAAGCACCAGAGTGTAGGAATACTCTGTTACTAGTAAAAGTCCTGTAATCAAAATGCTCAAGTAAAAGTAGAAAAGTATTAGCATCAAAATATACTTAAAGTACTAAAAGAAGTACTCATTCTGCATATTGGCCCATTTCAGAATAATATATATTATATGTTTTGATTTTAAGGTATGTAATGTGTTGAACAAGCTAGTAAAGGTGGAGGTAATAACGTTGTATACGGCAAGGTATATATTTCACATCATTAATCCAAATCTGCAAAGTAGCTTAATGTATTAGATAAATGCAGTGGAGTAAAATGACATGATTAACCTCTGAATTGAAGTGCAGTAGAAGTACACAGTAGCACACAATTGAAATACTGCAGTAGTACACACATTTATACTTAAATACCGTACTTGAGTAAATCAACTTAGTTACTTTACACCAACGCTCGCAGGTGGTTTTCTCTCTCTTGGCCTCCGCACAGTTCCCAAAGTCTGGTTTCTTGGCTGCCATGCTCCCCCCTATCCAAGTGTTACCCCCCCTCCCCCCATCCAAGTGTTACCCCCCCCCCTCCCTCCACCTCCTCCGCCGCCCCCCTCCCGGCCCACGCTGGGGCGAACAATAAGGGGGTACACAGGGGTATTTCAGCCGCGGCCAAGGCCCAGCGTGGCGCTCGCTCTTGTGAGAGATCCACACATGCTGAGGTCACACACTTGGTAGAAACCAGGCGAGTTGCGGGTTAAGCAGCACAGAGGGGACCGTTGTCAGGGTCAAAACCGGGGCAGTACCGCCGGCCATGGGGCCCGGTGACGGCCCCGGCAAGGCACCCCGCCTGGGCTTTGTCTCCGCAGAATGGGGGCTAAATAAATGAGTAACTCTAAATGACTGTCTCCTTTTCTCATTCATGACTTTAATCTAAACCTGACCCCGGCTGTATAATGTAAGACAGGGCCGCTCTTAAAGCCTGGGGCCCCTGACCTGCAGCAGAACCTATAACAGTATTCTACACAAGCATGCGGGCCCCGGCATCCCTGCTGTTTAATGTAACTATACAGAACATTGGAGCACTGGGAACCTGCTGTGGTACAGTCCCAACTTCCAGATGAGCTCCCCCCCCCCCCCCCCTCTTCTGCCTCCTCCGCTGCATATTTGACCAAAGTGGAGAAAATGGTATCCGGAGTAGCGGTCCATACTCAGCCATTCATGAAATCCCCTACAGGAGCTCTGGAATTGAAATGGGAAGTGAATCGTGAAAAATGGAAATGCAAAGTCATTTTCGTGTTTTTCTTTTGTTTCAAACGGGGCTTAAAGGCAGCATTTTTTATAGTAATTTAGATAAACGTGCATCCATGTTTGCTGTGCTTTCATCTCAGGGAAACATCTTCCTGTGCTGATGCTTGTTGCAGATTAGGTGCAGGCGAGCAGCACTCTGAGCGCAGGAGGAGGAGGGATTTACAGCCTTGAGGATGGTTCAGATTGAAAAGCTTCCACAGTGACAGCAAGCCGCTGCGCTTGTATAAGCTACTTAATAAAATTAAATGCAATTTCAGTATCACGGAGCCTTGTTAGAAAGAATCTAGATTTGAAAAGGGGAGTCTTTGTGGCTTTTTTTGATGCCATTTTAATGCGTTTTTTAAGCCAAAACAAGAAAAAGTGCTTCAGATAATTTTGCCATTTGGTATTTATCTGTGAAATATATTTTTTGCACTGTGAAAGCTCTTGCATTGTTCAATCCACTCTAGAGTCAGTCCATTAGTTGAAGTGTGCAGAGTTGCTATGCAGGTTTGGAAAGTTGTACAACGCTCCTATACTTTGCATATACTCAAATCTATTTTCGCAAACATCTGTAGAGTATGTGACAACACTGTTTTGTGACTCCTTTTTAGTCATAGACCTAGAAAGGTTTCAGATATTGTGATCAAAGAATGATGAATAGTCATTTGTACTGGCTGTACTAGAAGGTATTGCTAGCAGCATCTACAGCGTTTACTATAAATCACAGAAGGGCTTGCATCATGTTCTACTTCATGAAAGTTAATGCAGATTCAGTTATTCATGTTAATAAATAACTGTTATAGAACTATTTTAAAAGTAGATTTAGCAAAGCAATGATGATTAAGTACTTTTAAAGCAATTCACAATTATATAAACAATTCTTAGTGTGCCTTATAAGAAGAGATTAAAGGAATTTAAATAAACAATTGTCCTGTTAGCGTGATCAAAATAGGGCTGCAACTCACGTTGATCATCTTTTAGATCAATACATTGATTGATTGGTCTATAAAGTGTCAGAAAATAGTGAGAGATGTCTTTTAACGTCTTGTTTTGTCAGTCCAAAACCCAAGAATATAACTTTTATCTGATTAAAAGTAAAAAAAGCAGAAGAAATAACATATTTGAGGCTGAAAACAACATTTCACGTCATTTTCTACCCTAGTTCAGGATTATCTTTCTGTTTATCGACAGATAGTTAACTTATTCTGCAGATCTAGATCAATAAATAGCTTTTAACAACTGCATTCACCATTAATAGAGTCATTTGTGACAGCATATAAAGCCTGCATTAAGTAAGCTTTATAAGAAAGTGGCACCAAGACAAAACCCATAAAATAAAAACTGTAGCATTTCGTGGTGGAACAGCTCATGTAAGAGAAATGAGTCACAGATGTTTCTTGTCAGCTTCGCCGTCTGTGTCGGCGAACCAAACGATGGAATAAGTGTATGAGGGGTATTTACTGCTGCTCTGACAAGGAGCTATTAGTGAATTCCCAGCTCACCAGCTATTTAGCTGCTTCATTAAAACCCACCCGGGTCCATATGGTCCGCACGCAGCCGTTGCCGTGGCCCAAGGTGTTTATTTGTTGCTGATAGGTGGGATCAACAGAGAATCGGGGGCCGGGCTCTGTCCATAATCTCCCAAGCTGTTTGTGTCTCCGACGCCATGGAAACTGATACCCCTCGTCATCAAAGACCCTCATTGGGTGGGACTAAGGAGCTGACAGCTGGGGAGAGAGGGATTCCAGGATTCAGGGTCACCCCAGGGGTTTCCTTTAATCCCTGATAATGCCCATCCAAAGCTTCCCCCAGCAGATGCAACATATTTCTCCATAAGACAATCAAAGAATGGCCTGTTTGATATAAATGTGGGTATTATCATTTAAAGAGATTTTAAGCCTGGCGGGCCGATTGTTCCAGGACCGAGGACGTAGTGGAACAGGCTGGTTGGGCCAGCTTCTTTGCTAATAAACTTCTTGGCACTATAAACTAGCCATTTATATGACCTTAGATTAAGGCTGCTTTGCCAAAGTTAGGGTTAGGGTTCCTTAATTAAGTTGAACATTGGTCTAAAATGATCTTAAAGACTAAAATGTATCAGTGTTGCAAGGGACATCAAAGGTACAATGATTGATTGACAGCAGTGACAGAAACCTATAACTAGTACCAACCAAATTGATCTTGCGTTTTCTTGATGCCTCTGAGAAGCAGGATATTTATATAGAATGTTTGTTATCCCATGGGAGAAAACTATAGTTCCGACATGGCATGCTTCAGGGTGTTAAATCGGACTTCTCTGATGACCCACACTGTCTTACCCCTCTCCGTTTCTGGACATACTTGAAGTAGAACCTCAGAAATTTGAGAAGACTTGACACTTGCACACATTTCTCCTCTTGTTTGCTTTTCTTACTCTTGCTCTCTTTTTAATCTCCACTTAAAGAAACAATGCTCCATGTTGCTCTTGGTGGCGAGCTGATGTTGTGATAGTTTCCCAGTGGCATTGTGAGTTGCCCCGTTTGCATTGTTCCCAGTGTTTACTCTCGCTTTCCCC